AGTCCTAATGAATTGTCTGCAGTAAAGAAGTTAATTAATTTCTCAACTCTCATAAAGCCAGTATGTGTAGGAGGCAAGACTTGATCAACACGCTATCTTCTAAGTCAAGCTGTTTCTCCAATATACTCCTAATTATATCACCATCATATAATACAATGGAATTACATTTATTCAAGATCCTGGAAATATGCATATAAATGTAATAATAGATAAAGGCATCACATAAACTCCATCTAGGAGCATTCTGGACTTGAAGGTAATTCATGACATAATTGTATTATGTTAAATACTGTAGAAATCTGTGGTTATGAGGAACTCCAAGTACATTTATATAGGTAGATATTTTCATGTTAGTTTATATTAACTCACAGCTATTTAGAAATTTGCAGTTTACAAAGCATTATCACACAACAATTCTTTGAGGAATCTATCATTTTTTAACAGAGGAATAAATAAACCCAGGATTAGAAGAAATGAGGCAATTGCTCAAGATGATGCAGTTGGTTTCAAAACTGGGACCAGTCTGTCAATCAACAAGCATTTATTAAACATTTACCATATTCCAGCTACTGTGTTAAGGTCTAGAGATACAAAGAGAGGCAAAGCTATAACAAGAACAAGAACAACAAGAACAACAACAATAGCTCATGTTTATATAGAACACTTGTTGTGTTCCAGGCACTGTGCTCAGTATTTTACAATGATTAATCTCATTTGATCATCACAACAATCCTGGGGAAGATGGGAAAACCAAAACAAACATAAATTAAGTGACTTGCCTAGGTCACACATCTAGTGTCTGAGGCCATATTTGAATTCAGATCTTCTTTACTCCAAGTCCAACATTCTTTTCACTGTATCACCTACCTAGCTGCCTCCAATATCAACAACCATAGACATAGCAATAGAAATACAATTCATGCTTTCTGGACATTCTAATGGAGAAGACAATATGTAAATAATTAAATTCATCAAATTCACATACCAAATAGATGGAATATAATAGATGGGAAAAATAGATGGAATATAATCTCAGAGGAAGATATTAGCAGCTAGTGGGGATTGTGGAACACCTATTGTAGAATGTGGACTTTGATCTGAAATATTAAAGAAAACCAGGAATACTAAGAGGTGCAGATGAGGCACTAATGCATTCCAGGCATGGAAGACACTCAATACCAAGGCATGGACACCATGAAATATTATGTTTTGAGGAACTGCAAATTGTCCAGTGTAGCTAGGTAATAGAATACATAGAGAGAAGTGAGGTCAAAGAAGAATGGAGACATAAGAAGGGGCCAGGTTATAAAGAGCTCTAAACGCCAAACAGAGGAGTTTATCTATGATCCTGTAGGTGATAGGGAACCACTGGACTTACTGAGTAGGGAGTAATGGGTTAGACTTATGCTTTAGAGGAATCATTTTGGCAGCTATGTGGGGAATGGATTAGATGGGGAGACACTTGCAGCTATTATATTAGTCCAAGTGAGAGGTGATTAAAACATGACCTAGAGTTGTGACTGTAGTAATGTAGAGAAGGAGACACATACAAAAGGTACTGTAAAGGTAGAAATGACAATGAGTTGACAGCAAATTGGATATGTAACTGAAGAGTTGAGGATGACATGAAAGTTGTGAACCTGTGTGACTTTAAGACTGGTGGAATACTCTACAGTAAGAGGAAAGTTAAGAAGACGGGAAGGATATTTTTTTAAAACATAATGAATTTTGTTTTGGACTTATTGAGTTTGGGATGTCACAAGGCATAAAGTTTGAGATGTCTAAGGGGCAGTTAGAGATTCATGACTATAGCTTGGCAGAGAGACTGTGTGGATAGATAGACTTGGATATAGATCATCTGCATAGACATGATAGATGAAGTATGAGAACTGTTGAGATTATTAATTGAGATAGTACAGAGCAAAAAGAGAAAGAGGGCCTAGTACAAAGCTTTGGAAGATGCCAATGGTTAGTGGGTATAACATGGGTAAAGAACCAATATGGAAGACAGAAGTAGCAGTTGTACAGAAAGAAGAACCAGGGTAGATCAGAATCATGGAAATCTAGAGAGGAGGGAGAGTCCAGGAGAAGAACATGAACCTTATCAAAAGCTTCAGAGGAGTCAAGAAGGCTCAAGATTGAGAAAAGGTCATTAGATTTGTCAATGGGGAGATAGTTGGTAGCTTTGGATAGGGAAGTTTCAGTTGAATGAGAAGATCAAAAGCCAAATTTCTTAGTGGTTAGAGTTGAGTGATAGGAGAGGAAGCGGAGGCACCAAATCTGAAATAATGCCCTTAAGGCATTTAATCAAAGTTAGGAGGTGTGATATAAGAAGATAACTGGTGGAGATGATAGGATCAAGTAAGGTTTTTTAAGGGTAGGAAATTAGATGAGTATATTTACATATAGCAGGGAAGAAGCCAGCAGAAAGATAGAAGCTGAAGCTATGAGAGAGAAGGTGGGAAGGATAATGAAGGAAATATATTGGAAAAGTCAGGAGATGAGGTGCCCATGTTGAAGGGCTGTCTTTGGTTAGGAGAAGGGCCACCTCTTTATGTGAGCTTGGAGTAAAGGAATAAAGGAAAATGTCTGAATGATGTGACCTGTGAGCAAGATGGAATTCTTGGTGAATATTCTGTTTTTCTCTTTGAAGTATGAGGTAAGGTCCTCAGCTCAGTGGGGTGGGGGTGTTGTAGAAGGATTAAAGAAAGACAGAACAGCCTCTGTGGAGAGTAAAGTAGGGAAAAAATGAGGGCAAAATGAAATGTTTACCTTGATGCAATGGGGACTCAGTTAAAATTAGATAAGATCAATTTTTAGTGGGCATAGTGGAAATTACTGTTTAATGATCACCCCTAGCTCTTGAGCCTCACGTGATCGAGATCCATCATTGGTGTTGCTTTTGTAAGGGCACAGGAGCAAGAGTTTCAAAGGCAGGAGTTAGTGTAGAGTTGAGTTAGCTCACCAAGGGGTCACCAAGGAGAAGGGAGGAGAGTGTAGACAGTACAGAGGTAATGAATAACCTGGGAAAGAACTGAGGGGTGGAAGTCATGGAGATGACCCTGAGGATGAAGAGCAGAGTTAGGCATTGTAAGGCATAGGGAAAGTTGGAATGAAAAAAAAAGGAATTTCAGGGTTTGTATGCAAGGATACAGATTAGTTGTGGAAGATGGCAAGAGCAAGGGTGTCATCATTGCTGTAGCTCTTGTAGAGGAGAGATGTAGGTCATGAAGATTAAATAGACTAAGGAATTGGGAAGTTAGGGTATTTGAGGGATCATAAATATATATGTTGAAATCCCCTACTATGAAGACTTTAGATGAGGAGGAGAGAGAAACTATGAGCTACGCAGAACTTATTGAGGAAGGAAGGAAGGAAGGAAGTAAAATGCTAACTCCTGATTCTTTCTACTGACAGGATAATTAAAAGGAGGCAGGAAAATTACTAAATTTCAGTACTCTACTCTTAATGCTGTTTTACCATCTAAACAGAGTATCCGGTGACAAAATTATTTTTGAAAACAATTTCAGGGTTGTACCTACATACTTTACATAGAAAATGGGGAAAAAAAGAAAATAAAGCACTCCTTCAAATTTTACTAATGCTTTTCTAATTATCCTAAGTGTTTCAGTTAGCTCTAGGCCAAAGCAATTTAATGATTGTTTTGTAACAATATTTCTGAGTAACAACAAAGAAAGTTTTAGAGTGCCAGAATTTATCCGGAAAACAAAAAAAAAAAACTCCACTGAATTATTTTCTGATGCTTCTACCTGAATCTCTCTTATACATTGAAATGTAAAATGCACTACTCTTACTGAGACTTACGGTATTAAAAGTATGTTAACATTTTTTTGGGGAAAAACGTCACATGTTATATCAGAGATAAAGGTTTTGTAGGGTAAAATGTTCACATCTGATTCTTTTTAGACATTGAGATTTTGATGGTATCAATTGAATAAACAAAATGTCATTTTGTAGGGCAACAAATTAGGGATATTCATTAAGAAGAATGAAAATCAAGTAAGATATTTCAAGTCCCCGTGAATCTTAAGATCTATTCTTGTTTTGTTAAAATAGGAAAAAAAAACTTATACCAAAACCATATAAAGATATTCAAAAATATAAACAATCTACAATATCTATGTGAATTAGTACAGATTTGACAAAGATCAGTAAATTCCATGTAATCTGTTGTATTTGTCTAGTAAAACAGTTAAGTCACAGTCTCATCTAGATTTTCACAGAACACAAATAAGTATCACATATTCAAACACGGTAGGAGTGTAAAATAGACTCTTTGTCTTGTTCTCTTCTGTCTTTTAGCCACTTGCCCACTTTGGTGTCCATTCTCCTCTTTGTTTCATAACAATTTTAGGTTTGCACTGACCTATACAACCCAGGCCAGCTTTGAATGTTCACTCTCCTTCTGCTCATCCATGAGGGCTTTATTGTTGCCATATTTAAACTTCACAGTTAAATTTACCTAATCTGCAACTTGTCCCCTCAGGGCCAAATTCTCTGCGCCTTCCAAGATCCTAATTCTGATGAAGGCATTCATGCTAATGGAATGAATGGATAAGACTCCCAAAGTTTGCTCTTTTCTCTAAATAAAGGCTTCTTTTCATTGTGCCCAACTTAGAAAATGTCTCACCTTCAGATTTAACCCAAAGGAATAAATAATGGTGGACTGAGTAGGAGAAAATGGAAATGTGGCAGGACATAGGTAATATTGTAAGGCAGGTGGGGTCTAATACCTCTTAAATAATAGGTACATTGTTTTTCAAATCTCTCCAAACAAAGAAAACTATTTTCTGGGCAATCTGACCTAACAGATTATTTTCAGCCAGAGAGACAGTAGTTAAAATAAAAGTAATAATACCCAAAATAAATTGCCATTGATACTAAAAATTGTAGAGTGGAATTCTGTGGCTTCTAGGATGCATCAATATAATGATTAAAAATGGTGATTAAACTCTTCCCTTTGTTTTCAATTATTGTAGGAAGAACCCTATGTTATGTTCAAGAAGTCTGATAAGCCCCTGTATGGAAATGATCGATTTGAGGGATATTGCATTGACCTCCTCAGGGAATTAGCTACAATCCTTGGTTTTACCTATGAGATTAGACTTGTGGAGGATGGAAAATATGGAGCCCAGGATGATGTCAATGGACAGTGGAATGGAATGGTTCGAGAACTAATTGATCATGTAAGTTTTTTTTTTTATTTCTTGTAGAAACAACTTTTTAAATGTTAAATAAGCCTCTCAGGATCCAGAGCATATTTTTAGAACATGTCTTTATTGTTAAATTTGAATGTCATTATATTATTTTATTAGAAGACACTTATTGTCATTGGGTTTGATACTTGATATGAAGGATAATGGTAAATTTTTATATCTTAAGTTAACTAGTATTTAGTGTATCAGAATCTGGAAAATTCATGCATTTTTCATCAGATTTTGATTTCCTAATGTTGCATTTGCTTCCTTCCTTATTATAATCAACATCATCTCCTAATCATGATATATAATAGATAAAACTACATTGTTAATTCTTTGAAAAACTACTTTTACTAGGAGGAAAACATGATAGTTGCCAAATGACTCTTACAAATCTTATCCTGATAAGAAGAATGAAGACAAGTCCATATACAATCTAAGATATGAAAAATTAGCCACATGATGTGTTTTCATTTTCAAGATCAAATTTAAAATAAATCAGAAATAGCAAAGCACATAGAAACAGCAGGGCATTTCAATGTGAGTCAAAACTGATATCATTATAGGCAATTGTTTGAAATTGAATAAGTCAGGCATCCCTTCCCTTTGGCCTAAAAAAAGAATAATTTCTCAGTTGGTGGTGCCAATGAATTCCTGTCTTGGAAACACAGTCTGATCTTTATGAAAACTATGCCCTTGTCTCTGGCTTCTCTTGTTTTGACATGTTTGCATTTATTTTGACAATTTCTTAATATTAAGGCATCTGGTCATGATCAAATTTAATAAAATAAGAATTCTGTGTATTAATACTATATTATATTGTAGTATAAATAAAATCTCATTGCCAGAAGTGTCAAGTATAAGGAAATGGCTTTCTCAGTGCTCTAAAAATATACTATTAGAAACAAAAGTTGATTAACAAAAACTTTAAAATGTGCATATACATTCTCCTGTTAATTCTCCTTTCTTTGGCTTTCAATCAGTCAATAAACATTATTAAATACCTACTATGTGTCAGGCATTATGCTAATAAGCACTGGGGATGTAAAGAAAGGCAAAAAATCAATCCCTACTCTTAAGGAGCTCATAGTCAAGTAGGGGAAACAACATGCAAGTAATGTATACAAACTTTGCATACAGGAAAAATTTCTGGTAGAAGGCAGGATTTTAGCTGGGAGTTGAAAGAAGTCAGGGAAGCCAGGAAATAGCAATAAGGAGGGAATGGGGGACAACAGTGAAATGCTCATATTCTGGAGATAGACTGTCTTGTGTAAAGCACAAGACACTTTGGGAATAGCTTCATAAAGTGAAGGCTGTTTGTATCAGAGCTTATGCTAAATTATTTAGAGGAACTAGATAGTAGGAAAGGGAACTGATACACCCTGCATCTCACCAACCCATACATGATAGTTAGCCTAGTTTAAGTATAAGCAAAGAGGCTAGTTGAGGCTTGATAGAGCAGTATATCTGTGACAGTCATGGTACTGTGACCTGAGTATCTTTCCCTGGTTCTTCCCTTTATCTTCTTTGTATTGAGTGAAGGTGAAAACTAGAATCTGCATTGATCTGATGTCATGAATTATGTTGCTCCAGGGCCCACACAGCATGTGCTAGAGCTAGAGATAGGAATCACTTAATAATGATGTTTATAGCCTAGTATTGGGTATCTGAATCTTGCTTTGTGAGATTGCTCCCTAGAGAAAGATGTGCCCTGTACCTAGCATCAGGCATGTGACAGGTTAGGTTAATGGTGATTTAAGCTTAGAGGATAGATTGACAGTAAATGGGGAGGAGAGAAGGTATGTCAAAACAGAGAGAAAGGAAATAGTTGAGATGCATCTTGTTTCATATACCCCTTAGCTTTGACCTGAGTATCAGTTGTTATTATTAGCAAATATTCAAAAAGACTTTTGTTCCTTCCTTTGCACCGTTAGTAAGAAAATAATACATTTATTAATTTCAACACACATTTATTAATCCTGGAAGTGATAGAGTGTTGAGTGACAGTGGAGTAACATAGTCAGAACTGTGCCTCAGGAAGATTGTTTTGACAGCTGAATAGAGGATGGACTGGCACTTGAGGCAGACAGATGTACCATTCTTATTTTCAATGAGTTTTGCAATTGATATAGCAACCCTAATATACTCTAAACTATGGCATGCCAGAAGATAAGAAACAAATAATCGTGTCAACTGTGGTAAGGATGACCAAATAATAAAGTAATGTGGGCTTTGTTAGATGGTAATTGATCTGTAGGTTAGTAAGTGAGACAAAATGATGATGGGCTTAATAGACTCCAGGAAATTGGAGAATCATTTTGTGGAAAAATTGATAACCTTTCCCAGACTTCGCGAGGCAGAGTTAAAATATCTATCTTAAATATATATATATATATAGTTATTTTATTAATTCCAAAAAGTTAGATACAAAGTTTATTGAAGAATAGCATTTATAAGCTTATTATATGAATAAGATACTTAAGGCAGGCACTGTGCTAAGCATTTTATAAATATTATCTCATTTTATCTTCATAACAATCCTGTGAGATAAATGCTATTGTAATCCCCTTTTTATAGATGAGGAAACTAAGGCAGAGAGAAGTTAAGTGACTTTCCCAAGGTCATCCAAGGAGTGTCTGAGGCTGGATTTTAACTCAGTTCTTACTGACTCCAGGCCAGACTCTATCTACTCAAACTTAGCTTCCTAGTAGTTGCAACCAAAGAGTCGAAGCTAAGACTTTTCATTCGATTTTAATTTTGGCAAACTTGCTACATGAAATTATCAAGTTACAGCTACCTTTTTTTCTTTGCATTTCTTCACTTATGTGAAAGTCAGGACATTCTTTTTTCACTTCAAAGTGGAGTCTTACATTCTTGGAATTTATGCCAGTTTCCTGATATATTTGTTTCAAGATGAAATAGAAGCTCCACTTTCTCTGAATAACTATGGCCTTTCTCCATATTGCCTAATACTTAATGCATTAGTATTCTTTCATGATTGATGAGTATCTCAATAGACCAGCCACATTTCACTCCCAGGCCATCTACTTACCAGCCCCCATGCCTACTTTCTGCCAGGCCCTGTGCTATTGTGGTAACAAGGACAAAAACTAAACAATATCTTCTCCCAGGAAGTTTACTTTAAGTTTTGATAGCTTAAAACTGCACTAATACATTTGAAACATTCTGTAAAATCAGATAAGCGATGACAAAATGCATATATAAGCAAATATGATGTAATTTTGAGGGGAGGGCAATGCACAATTGACCAGGGAAATCTGGAAAGACTTCTTGTAGGAGATGTTAGTTAGACTAAGCCTTAAAGGCAACTAAGGTTTCCAAGAGGCAGAGGAGAAGACAGACTGCATTCTGGGCATGCCTGTGCAAAGTAAGTATATGTAACATTATTCTTATGAGGAAAATACTACTACTATTACCACTACTACCACTAGCTAACATTTATATAGCACTTACTATGTACCAAGCAATATTCTAAGCACTTAACAATTATTACTTCCTTTGATCCTTCTAGAAGGTGGATACGATTATCATCCTCATTTTATGAATGAGGAAACTGAGACAAATAGAAATTAAATGACTTGCCTAAAGTCACACAGCTAGTAAGAGTCTGAGGCCAGATTTGAACTGAAGTCTTCCTGATTCCAGGCTCAGTACTCTATCTACTTCACCACCTAGGTGACCCAGTAGTCAAGCAAGTAGTCAAATTTGGTTGGAACAGAGCGTGTGTGTGTGTGTGTGTGTGTGTGTGTGTGTGTGGGTGTGTGTGTGTGTTCATGCAGATATGCATGAGAGAGACATACAGAGACAGAGACAGAGACAGACACAGAGACAGAGACAGAGAGACAGACAGACAGACAGAGAGGGGGAAAAGGAGGGGAGAGAGAAAGACAGACAGACAGAGACAGACAGACAGAGACAGACAGAGACAGAGAGGCGGGGAGAGATAGATGGAGAGAGAGAGACAGAGAGAGAGAGAGAGAAATGTGAAATCAGTCTGGAAAGATAAGTAGAAGCCAGATTTGAAGAGCTTTAAATGCCAAAAAGAGGAGTTTTTATTTGATCTTAGAGGCAATAGGTAGACACTAGAGCTTCTTGAGCAGGGAATTAAAAATGGTTAGATCTTTGCTTTAGTAATAACAAATAAGAGCTTTCTTCACATTTATATCCGCGTCCCCATAGCTTTTAACAGTGCTTGGCATATAACAAAGGCTTGCTTAATATTTTTTTCAATCGTTTATAGATAGATAAGCAGAAACTGCATGTATTATATAGCTTCTCCGCCTTAAGGATTATTAATATTTATAGAATGCTTTACAATTTACAAAGTAATTTTATATACCTCCTTGCAGTTCCTCTAACAAGAAACTCTCCTCTTCTGCCTGGGGATTTTCACTGGCTGTTCCCCATGTCTTGGCATTTTTTCCTTCCTCATTTCCATCTCCTGGCTTCCTTTGCTTTTTTCAAGTCCCAGCTAAAGTCTTATCTTCTGCTTGAATCCTTGCCTGATCTCCCTTGATTCTCTGTTGATTATTTCAAATTTATCAGTATACAGCTTGTTTCTACATGTTGCTCCCTCATTAAACTGTTAGCTTCTTGATTGGGGGACTGCCTTTTGGCCTTCTTTGTATCCCGGTGATTAGCATAGTTCCTGTTATATAGTAAGCGATTAGTAAATATTTATTGACTGACATATACATTACCATATTTGATCATCTCAACAACACTATAAAGTAGACCAAGGAGGAATTATCTCCATTTTATAGATGAAGAAACTGAGACTCAGGAATGTTAGGTGACTCACGTAGGGCCACACAGCTGGTGCAGGGGAGAGCCATGAATAGGACATGTCTTCTTTCTACTATACCACATTTCCTCTTTCCTATTGTGTGTTGATGTATGCCACATTTATAAGAGAATTAAAGAGACTTGCCATTTAGAAACAAGAAGGGTAGAAGAAACTTACTTTT